ATAACCCAAACGTGTCCATCCACGTCTACGCAGCACTGCAATGTCAGCATGTGTGGTGCCATGATTTCCATCGCACGGATCGCCTCCACTGTTGTCAACATGTTGCGTGACAGTGGTCCATTTTTAGTAGTATATATTTTTCAGTTCCTTTGTTTAGTTTTGAGTGAGAGAGCATGCATGTGTGTCAGCAGCAAAGGGGCAGAGAGAGAGGGGAGAAAGAATCCTGTGCTCTCAGCACAGAGCCTGATGTAGGACTTGATCCCACGAAGTATGAGGTCATGACCTGAGCTCAGATGCAGACTTGGGTGCTGAACCAACTGAGCCACCCAGGCACCCTGACAACAGTGGTGCATTTTATATGGACACTAACTCATCATTTTCAGGCAAAGTTTCTAATTTGCATTAGTGTTCAGCCTTGGTATTATACGTTCTATGAGTTTTAACAAATGTGTAATGATGTGAATCCATCTTTGTGGTATCGTGTGAAAGAGTTTCACTGCCTTAAAGGTCCTCTGTGCTGTGCCCCTTTATCCCTACATTCACCCCAACCCTTACCTCCATAGTCTTGCTCTTTCCAGAGTGTCATATAGTTAGAATCATACAGTGGATATCTTTGAATGTTTAGAAAATTAAATTCCCCGGTAATTGAATGTAGGCATTCAGGATATTCTTTGCCCTTTGTTTTGTTTTGTAGCTCATCAGTAGAGGATCTGATGATGTATACCTTCAATGAAAAAAAAGCATGATTTCTCTAGATGCGTGTCACCTAATGGGGACATCATGAACCACTACATAGCACTCATATTGGGATCATGCTCCTGTGTGATGTGCCGTGGGTCTAGATAGAGTCTCTAGCAATGGAAGGAGACAGTCTCAAAAGGTTAGAACTTTATCAAACTGGAATGCCAAATCCTTCTTCCTTAACTTCCCATTGGAAATAACGCCAGGGAGAGTCTGTTTGCTATGGTTTGGCCATGCTGCAAAGTACAATAGCTGTAGAGCACACTTTGTGAGGGGGTGTTTCGTCCTAAAACTGAACAGTCTGTCTGAAGGGCTGGGGAAGTTCTGCCGTGTTACAACAAAAAAAACATACTCTCTTTAACTCCTCTAGTAGTGGAAGTCCAGAAAAATCATGCTAGTTTCAGTTTGACATTGTCAGCTTAGGATAAACATTCACCTAACGATACCATTTTCCTCCAGCGTCATAGAGTCGGTCAGTGATGGTCATTGTAAACATCAGTTCACCTGTAGGTGTCAAATTCCGATAAAACCCATTCTTGTTTTTGGTCAATATAGAGGAGAAGGTAAGATTTCTTAGTGCTTTAAGCCTACCAATGGTATAATTACCATTCAGTGTAGTGTGGTTTCCAGGTGTGGTCCCAAAGGAATACTTTTGAACAAATCATTAGCCATACACTTGT